TCCTACGACGAGCATGTATAGGCTGCAAGAGAAACAAAAAAAAACAATTTACTGATGTGTCTGTTGGCGAAGTAGAATTTGGAACTCTATTTAGAATGAACTGGAACGTTGTATTTTAAAAGAGTAGGATGTACGGAAACCAGACATGTTACAACAAAAACATCCTCAATGTTTTTGGCAAACATAGCGGCAACCTTACGAAAGAATATGCATTTTCCACATAACAGATGTGTAACAAGATATACTTGAATAGCGCTCTGGCGTAGTGTGTATACATGCCAATTTATTATAGGGCAGCGCGTACATGACGGTATGCGCTTTGATCAGGTATCCATTGGAGGTAACACATAAAATTAAATTACGAATTTTAGTTTGAACACAACTAATGTAACTTTCTTCTGGCTGCCTACATTAGGACGATTATGCGAATAACATAGAAATTTGGTTTCACTACTTTACTATTGTCAACTGTTAAATTACGGCTTTTAATTCAATGATTCCAGGTGGCTAAAAAGGCAGTGCCCCTCACTCATCCCTAACATACCCCTCAACAGGCTGTCTAATAAATAATGGGAAAGAATGTGGAAATGCTAATACAACGCACCTATCTTGAGCTAAATACCATCCCGCTAAAGCATGCAAGCTTCTGCAACAATCTCAGTAACAAGAATACTGGAAGGCATTGGTCACGATTTAGCAATACACAATAAACATTTGATGAGACTGATTTCTGAAGTGTAATTGCGTCAATGCCAACAGCTTAAAAACATGCAGTCTATATTCATGATTGTCAGATGAACATACTGTCCAATTTTCCATTTTCACAGTAACATGTTCATGCCTTATGTATGCATACTATGATGTATAACATTATTGCAAGTTTTGAGCGTTAAATAATTCATTCATTTCTCCAAACACCACAAATCCCTTCTATAAATGTAGCGCATGCCTATAGAATTTACCTAAGCTTGTCTTCTGATGTGAAGACATTTAAAACAACATGCTGATCCCAATTGAAAGCATGACGTTTTGGCCCCCACACAGGAGCCCTATTCACAAGTGACAAAGATTGTGCTTTTATTTGTGGCCAGTGTGTGGTTTTTCAATGTTTTCATGTGTGTTTCTGAGCGGACGGGCATAAGCTTGTAATATGTTATTAAATGCCATTGGAGGTGGTGGTTTAAACTGTACTTATTGTTCGTACAAGTAAAAGTGCTTAGCAAAGTTTGAACACAAAGTTTTGGGCGAGGCACATATAATATTTAATAAACCACCACAAAGTAATGAATGCTAAGCATAGCGAAAACAAGCTGAATAAAATAAAATGTGCTCTACCACATGAACTACTGATCAAATTAGGGCGCGCACAGTTAAGCTACAGTTATTCGGCCCCAATAAGCCACCAAAATTTTGTTCGGAAATACAGTTGAAGTTTAACGAACGGCTCAAAATTCATGGGTTCCGAACGCATCAGGCAATCTATGTTGCGGGTCTATAACGTAAGCTCAGTTTTGACTAAAAGGGCTACATAAACGCCTAAGCGTACATACGTGCAAGCCTTGCGAGCCGTATCTAAGACGAGGCAGCATGCAGCACGCGAACTCGAGTAACACGGTAGTTCAAAGATGCGTGCCGGCGTGGATGCATACACCGGCATATGTTCGGCTACCCGCACAAATTTCTGATAACAGTTTAAAAAAAGGACGTACAACATATGAAACTGTTTTCAAACTGTTTTGGACGTACAACATATGAACCCGTTGACTCCTGTAGCACACAATATGAACAGGCATGCAAAAAAAAAATATCCTCAAGTTAAGAGATCCAAACATATGCGCCCTAGGCGTAATCAACGCTTACAGCTAACAAACGCCATCTTCGCCCAACAATTATTTAACCAAAATATTGGTCGATCGCGAGCAGGGCCCCCTGCCAACACCACTGCCGACTGAGGCGGACGCCGTCACAACTCGCACAAGCTCAAACCCGCCGCCGAATGCCCACTGCGCACGCACGCGTCATGTGCTTCACACACCGAAGCATGCTTGAGTCGAAAGAAAAAACTCGCCCACGCTTGACTTTCCACAAAAACGCCTTCATCCTGATGAAACGACACACACAAACAGGTTCGCTACGTTAAAAAACCTCACTTATCGCCTACATGTAACGAAAAACGTAGCATGGCGTCGTTATCACGCTCTTGGTGTTGACAAAGCACAGACCGCAGGAATGTGGTACGTACCTGGCGAGTGTTCCAAAATGCGACGCCACACGTCCTCGCTCGAGTAGAGTTCATCTTGGTAATAGGCAGCACCGGCAGAACACAAAACACGAACGCAGCGCGCAAGCACACCTCAAAAAACGAGAAAAATCGATGCAGAACCGACCAGCTGCGAGGCGCCCGACCAGCGACCGCAGCGAGCAAGCACGCCCGAACAAGTATCGTGGTTACAGCTCCGCAGACGTACGATGGTGCACTAAAATGATTTGGTGATCCATTTCAGTATAAAAAGTAAACGCAAATATATATAGCATAATAACTAAGAGAAAAAATAATTTTATCTCCACGAACACACAAAATTAACGTATACTTAGCACGCGAAGTTGGAAACGCTTGCAGGTACAATGCATTTTTAACAAATGTACAACAGCGATAATAATCACCTAAAACACTCCTGTTCTTGAATTCAAAATAGACTATTGTTGACGCACACATTTACACACAAACTTTTATTGCAATGAGTGATGGTGCCTATGCATAGGCGTGCCCACCACGGGGGTAGGGGGGCGGGGGCGGCTTTGGTCACTTCGGGGGCAATGTAAATCCCTATAGGTACATGGAGAAATAGACAGGGGGCACTGTAACTCGACGGGGGTTGCAGTGTACCACAATATATATATCTATATATATATATATATATATATATATATATATATATATATATATATTATATATATATATATATATATATATATATATATATATAGCTGTAACCTATATATATATATATATAGCTGTATATCTATAGCTGTAACGAGGGGTTACAGCTTATATATATATAAGCTGTAACCTCCACGATGCCCTCACTTTTAAAAGAGGGCCGTGAGTAGTATAGGTAATCAGTCGTGAAGCGACTTTCAAGCCCTTTAGAAATATTTTTCAGAATCCTACATAATTCCCTTGGCGTTGAGAGTATCTATTCGATGTTTAATGGTAGCTCGCTTATCAGCGGAATGACCAATAGCATAGGGGATGATTTTCTACTTCATAAAAGTTACAGAGGGCGTACAGTGGGTACCTCGTATGTGTTGTGTAGGGAAACGGACAAGCTTAGAAAGTGCTTCGCCCCGAAAACACTCGCCGACTTAGCTACTAGTGGTGCTGACTAACGCACCCAGATAGACTTTCACGTTTAATGGTACATGATACATAAAGCGGACGGTGGGATGAACGCTTCTGTACGCGTTATTCGAAGGTTGCATGTTCGGTTCTTGCCAGCGGCAAGTTCGCTTTTCGTCCACTTTTCTACGTTCACATTTACATGGCAATTACTACTGATAACATCCTCCATGCTTTCTTTGCCATCATTGTTCATTAGTTCTCATTGATATCGTGTTTAAAAAAGACACACAAGCCCTTAAGTTTCCAATTCTTTCCTTCAGTCATAGCCTTGTACAGTATAATATGTTTATTGATTGATTGACTTGTGGGGTTTAACGTCCCAAAACCACCATTTGATTATGAGAGACGCCGTAGTGGAGGGCTCCGGAAATTTTGACCACCTGAGGTTCTTTAACGTGCCCCCAAATCTGAGTACACGGGCCTACAACATTTCCGCCTCCATCGGAAATTCAGCCGCCACAGCCGGGATTTGATCCCGCGACCTGCGGGTCAGCAGCCGAGTACCTTAGCCACTAGACCACCGTGGCGGGGCAGTATATTATGTTAATGTTCTGAAAAAAGAAAGTGAGGGTGAGAAGAAGGAATGTGGTTGATTGATTTATATGTGGGTTTTAACGACCCAAAACACGGGCCTAAAGCATTTTCGCCGCAAGAAGGAAAGTGAGGAAAAACACCGCATAGAAAGAAAAAGGAGAAATACATTGACAGAAATAGATAGAAAAAGAAGCGAGAAATTAAGAAAGAGAAAAGGAAGAAAGAGGAAGGTTCAAGGAGCAAGACTAATGAATTAATGTGTGTGGAGATGATGAGCAGAAATAGACAAATGAAGGCAAAAAACACAGAGACGAGTTGAGAGCCAAAGGCAACAGGTATGGCCGCCCAGCTTCGCGCTGCCTTCAGGCTCGCCATATCGAACAGCCTTGTGCCGCTTTTCTTAATTAGAATGGTTGCCCGCATGGACTGAGTATTATGTGGCAGTGCGATGACGTTGTTGTTATATTCATTTTGATGTTTCTAATCTACATGCAGTGCAATATTAAGCCGGCTTTGGTTTTTTTGTCTTCCTCAATTCACGTAACACGTACCACTAACGATGTTCTTTATATATTTATCATTTTCAACGAGTGTTGGCAAATAAATATCTTACCAATTTCACAACGTTATTTATGAACCAACTGTAACTAACTGTGAGTGCCACGCACATGATGCCTGCCACGTCTTTTTGGCAACTGAATACTCATCCATCGGCTCAATGGACAACAATGACTTGAAACAATTTATCGTCTTTCTGACGTGATCCGGTTGCAGGTAACACCGACTACTCCGTTTCTCAAAAACATTATGCTTCGTGATCGTCACTTCTCCTGCTGCTGTGGCGCAAATGTGACCGAGGTTGTCGAAAGCGGCAAAGGGCTCAAGCACAGAATGGCCTGCTTCGCTCAACTTGTCCTATTGTTTATTGTGCTCTCTCTTTAGAAAAAAGGTCATCAAATTTGATGCCCTGTCTTTATTGTGGCATGGAAATGTCATGTTATTTTGAACAGACAAGGAATAACAGTGCGAGTGTTCTAGTTATTGACCTCAGTGTTGTCTTGAATCAAGCTGTAAGTGACCGCTTAACCAGCAGCCTGAAATGCTCGGTATCATACATTTTTACTCGTGGAGCGTCGCAATGGGTGCGTTTTTTGCCTATATCTGCCCTTTTTCGCGATCTCCATTTGTCATTCAGCCGTGTAGACAACTATATTGATACTGATATTGATATACTTGCGCACAAGTATCCACAGTTGGAATGCAAAACAAGTATAGTATGTGAAAATGAATTTCACAATGTTTTTGTCGATAAAATTACGGGAGGCGTAATCTTTGTCCCTACTTTGAACCATATGATCTAAAGCGATGCCTCCGAGATGCGGCGCACAGCAATTTATTTGTAGAGCCGACGACGGATGGCAATTTGCACTAAAGCGTGATCTTCAGTCTAATGCGGCAGTATTCGTGCCCCAAATGATAAAAAATTGTTATGAATTCTTTATGAACTCATTCAACATTCAATTCTCTTACCCAACGTGTTGCAAACACATGGCCGTCACAGCAGCTCCATCTGTGTGTCAGTAATGGAGTGGCACCGCATATTAGAAGTCTCTGTGCTCTACGTATAAGAGTGAATTCAGATACTGTAGAATATCGTGTTCAAAAACAGGTACTCCTATCTGCTAAAACAGCCTTTCTTCACCAAATGCGGTCACGTTTACTCGCGTTTGAAGCTTATTGCCGCTTTTCCGTTCCAATTTCTAGATTTTTCAACTTATCAGCCCATTCTCGAAAAGCTCTGATTTGTACCACGAATATTGTCGCTAAAAACAAAATAATGCAACATGTTTTTTATAGTACTGTATGATGGCCTTCGGTTGTTTGTTTACGAGATTTGAAGAAAAATCGAAGATGGGGTTTTTTGTATTATTCAAATTTCAGTTGAGCACACATTTGCCAGTATGAGAAATTTGAGGCAATATATCAAAATTAACATTTGCCCTACGACAGCAATAACTTATATACCTAATGAACACACTATATACTTAAAACGTGTCAAGTTTGAAAACGCTGCTTGCATTACTTTAGGAGAAAAAAAAGGGGATTTCTTAACTTATTTTAAACTGTCGCAAAATCAGACATTTTTAAAAGCTATTTTCTTAACGTCTACAAACTCGAAACCGCATGAATTCATTCTTCATTAGATCGGCCATTCAGGTAACAAATATCTTCCTTCAAACAAAAATACTTGTCTTTTTATAGCCTCTGCAATTTTCGAAAATGACAGGTGACGAAATTGATGCCTCCGTGTTGGTGAAGTTTGATATTTTTTTTTCTCGTAAGTTATGCTGTTAATCATAAAACGAAGTTCACTTTTGGGCAACCTGGTGAGAGGTGCGCGAGATATAAAATACTGAATGAAATCTAAAATATCAACTTTTGAACCCGTGTCGATCTCTCGTGGAATCACCCATATTTGTTTTGGGACTGTAAAACTCTATGTGGTATTATGATTAGCGCCTGCCATGATGGTCTTGTGGTTAAGGTAATCGGCTGCTGATTCGCAATTCGCGCAATTGAATCCCGGCCACAGCGGCTGCATTTTCATTGGAGACGAAAATGCTTAGGTGCATGTTGAAGAACCCGGGAGGTCGAAATTTGCTGAGCCCTTCTTTACGGCGTCTCTCGTAGTGAAACTGTGCTTTTGGTACGTGAAACCGTAACTATTATTATTATTATTATTATTATTATTATTATTATTATTATTATTATTATTATTATTAATAATATTATTTCCTGCTTTCTGTGCAGCAGTTAAAAGGGTCGGCTAATCTTGCAATGGTCAAGAATTTGAGGTTAGCAATGTGAGGTGTTGGGCTAGTAGGTTTTTTATGACTGAAAAAAATTGCGCTACAATTGATGCGGGAAACGAAGTTTGGGAGGAGACAAAAAAAAACTGGACAGTACAAGCGCTAACTAGTTGCGTTTGTACTGTCCACTTTTTTTGTCTCCTCTCTAACTTTTTTCCGCAGCAATTGTAGTGCAATTTTTCTCAGTCATGAAATAGAGAATACACTATGAACTGAAGGTCTAAGACGAAAGGACTAAGATGAAAGTACCTGACCACACGCTGAGATTGAAAACAACCCCAAGACTCGGTCCTTGGTTCTCTTTTGTTCTTAATATACATTAATGAGAGAGCATGTAACATAAGTTCGCAAATTCGGCTATTTGCAGACGACTGTGTAATTTACAAAGAAATAACTTGCCCTACCGATAATACCATTTTACAATCTGACCTCGATAGGCTGGCTGAGTGGTGCGACACGTGGCAGATGGAAATTATTATAGGGAAAACGAAGCACTTGGAATTAAGTTCTGCTCTAATCCCTTTGCATACGTCATACACCATAAATGACATTCGAATTGATTCAGTACAATCTTTTAAATATCTAGGCGTATTTTTCACAGCCAATCTAAACTGGACCACTCACATTGAACATATCACTACTAAAGCAATAAAAAAACTTGGCATTCTCAATCGGCGATTATACCTTGCCAACAAAGAAACCAGACTGCATTCATACGTTTCCCTGATAAGACCATCACTGGAGTATGATTCAATAATATGGCACCCTCACAATAAAAATTTAACTTACCTGGTTGAATCAATTCAAAACAAAGCTGCGCGCTTCATAACGTTGTCATACTCACCGTATAAAAACGTGAGTTCCATACTGAAATTGCTTAATCTGCCCTTTCTTGCCACGCGCCGTAAACTTGCAAGGCTATCTAATTTTCACGCACTCTTCCACAGCAACTCCGAGTTTGCGCGCAAGCATATTTTCCCGCCATCACACATTTAGGCCCGTGTTGATCACCCTAACAAAGTTAATCCCATCTTCCCGAGAACAAAAAAATACCAAAAGTCGCCCTTAGCCCTGTCAATAACCAACTGGAATTCCTTGCCAGCTGATGTAGCCACTCTAACAGAATAATCATCCTTTCTGAAAGCGGTAAAAATGTTTTAGAAGTTCCGATCGATTAATGTAGTTATGCGGTAGTGTTGTTCATGCGAATCACTTGAATATTTTTGTGTGCATTATTCACGCCTACTCTTGTTACCTGGAGCCTATTGTATTTTTATTAACGTACCTTTTCTTCTGCAGAGTTTATATATAAGTTTTTGATAATCCTTATCACCACTGTTGTGTGTACTCTTTTTTTTTCATTTAGGCTTTATATAATAATGCTTCTGATCATTTAATGTATCTTACACATGTTGAAAATCTCCCTAGTCCCCTCCCCCTATGTAATGCCCTCCCGGGTCCTTAGGGTATGTAAATAAAAAAATAAATTGAAATAGAAATTAATGCTCAAGCCATAACCGCATTTTGCGAGCCAGTCCAGTGCCGCGTCGGCGCTTGAAGACGCTGTCGAAAAAGACCTTGTGAAAAGTCGCGATCAAGGGGAGAGGAGTGACGTCAGCAGACGTAATAATGCGTGGCTCTACTATCACTGGATGTCACGTAATATGTTTTCGACGCTTTGTTCTATAGCCTCCGTTCTTGTGCCGAAACTCATGGCAGGCTCTCACGCAGTAAAAAGGTTCTGTTTCACTTACAACTGAACCGTCTGCAGCGGCCGCATTCGATGTGAGTGAAATGCTTGAGGCTTGTGAACTTCAATTTTAAGGAACCTTGGTGGTTGATATTTTCTTATCTTTCCGCTAGGACGTCCTTTAGAATCTGATGATGGTTTTGGGACATAAAACCGTGGCAATTACTATTATAAAGTGAGCAATGCGCAAGAACTTCAGTGCTTTGCGGATGCTTGAAGACGACCGAATATATTTCTATTACGTAAGCAAGCCTTTAAACTGCTCTTGCTTATATGTGGAAATGTTCTAACAAACAGCGACAGGGTGTTTAGTGAAATCGGTCGTCTGTGCAGATGCCATCAATGTAGCGGATCATCGTGCCTCTGATGTAGCATTTTTACTTGTAGCTTATTTCATCGTCAACGGAAAGGACGGAAATTTCACTGCCGAAGAGCAGATGCTTTGTAATTATTGTCACGGGGTGGAAATAGGTAGTAAGTAGAAATATATTTTACAGATTGTGCACGGAGTACACAGTGTCCTCGAGCCAAGATGGCGTAGTGGCAACAACAGCACGAACTTTTGTTCAATTGTTATCTTCATCGCCTTTATGGTCCATTCCTTGATGTTAATCATGGCTTGTATGAAATAGCCGTCATTGGGAAAGCACCATCTCGGCGCTTAAGAAAGCGTGTGATCCTGCACAGAGAAGTACGGCTTAAGTCGGGAGACGTGTACAATTTCAGTGGATGGCAAAGACAATGGGTTGAAGTGACGAAAGGAACGATCTAATAGGTGACGTCGGTCAGTTAGCGCAAGACTTTCTAAGGCCCGTTGTAGCGAGCGAAGAACTTCGAGGACAGATCAATGTGACGGGAGGTAGTCCAGAGCAAGACCAATGATCATGGGGATTAAGAGACAGCTCTGTACCGGCTGACGTAGCGATCTTTTTGAGAGAGCTGCGAAGCAGAAAGGTGATTCCGGGCAATCTGGCGGGCCCTCGAGCTCGAGTAGTTGCATCACGAGCGTACTCGGTAGGAGTGTTAGTGTGCGACGGCACATTAGTGTCAGAAGGCAAAGTGGGATGATGGTCATACAAGAAACAGAAGGGAGAAAAGCCAGCGGTGTCGTGGCGTGACGAGTTGTAGACAAACGTCCCGTAAAGCGAAGTGGCATCCCAATCACGATGATCTACGGAGACGTACATAGCATTGTCGTCAGCGTGTGGTTGAAGGTGCTTGATGAGTCCATTTGTTTGCGGGTGGTAGGCAGTGGTGAGCTTATGACGGGTGGAACACGGGCGAACAATGTCTTCCACGACGTTAGAGAGATACGAACGACCACGGTCGGTCAGAAGTTGACGCGGTGCTCCATGGTGGAGAATAACGTCGTGAAGGAGAAAGTACGAGACATCAGTAGCACAGCTTGTTGGTAGCGCTCGCGTGATGGCGAACCATGTCGCGTAGTGTGTAGCCACCACTACCCACTTATTCCCACTCAGAGACCTTGAAACTGGTCTAATGAGATTGAGGTCGACGCGCT